TTAAAATGTCTCCCAGCATGTGTTCAAAAAGATCCACACAACCCTTTGGCAATGAAAACATCCATTCCTGCGGAACGAGATTTTGACTCCGATGATTTTCAAACCTTTGACGTCAAAGAGTTTTGGAAAGTGGCTGCCGAGATTACATTGCCTGACGGAACCAGTTTCTCTGAATCGTGTGGAGCATCTATATATCGTGGGTCTCTTCTTTGGCTGATAATGTTGCCTGTTGCCAACACGAGCTGATGAAATACATTGAACTTAGAGGAATCCCCAGACGGCCTTTGTCAACTACCTATCATCAATAATTGGCGCACACGTGCAAATGGACGCATCATCAAGCACATACCCATTGCTTTGTATTCCGATGATACCGCGGGTAATGTGTCGAAAAAGTGGAACAAGCACATGAGTGTTTTTTTCACACTTGCGGGGTTACCTCCATCGATGACAAACCAGGAGTATAATATACATTTCCTGGCCACGTCAAATTGCGCTTCAGCACTGGAATTGCTTGATGAGGTTGTTGATGATATCAAGTGGGTCCCTTTCATTTATAAATTATCTACAGTGCCTGAAGCTGACGGTTATGGTCCTACAGCCACCACAGTGCCCATGGTTTTGTTGCGTACGACCACGTCACCGGCACCGATATTCTGGCCATGGTGGTTGTCCTATTCCACCTAGGCGACGGCCCCATGCATGCGGAGATCAGTAATACAACAAATCCAGCCAATACGCTCACACCTTGCCGGATCTGTGAGCTGCAAGTCCCCCAGATGAGTGACAAAAAAACCGAACAGTATGTTTCAGACTTCATTGGAGTTGATTTAGATGGTGAACAGGTAACTGGGAAAATTTTTTAAAGTTTTAAAATTTTCGAAAATTTTGTCATTGATTGCTTGATCTTTATCTCAGTTCTCTTTACCACAACGTAACTGGGATGTCACACGAGCCCGAGCTGTGAAGATTTGGCGAATGGCGCAAGAGCCACATAGTAAAATGGCCGTCGAAACTGAGGCACGAAAGCATGGTTTCCGTGATTCCGTGTTGGATTATTTCATCAAGAAGGTCAACCTTGCGCATGATTCAGCTGAACCCAACGAGGTTGAGCGCGTATGCAAAGATCTGGACAGTCAACTAGGTTCTCGTCTCTTTAACCCCATGTTGAGGCTGCGAGGTACAATGAACATTACAACGTAACAAACATCAATGCGTAGCTGACCTTAACTTTTGATTGCCAGGCTTCAATGGCCATCAGGATACCCCTGTCGAAATCCTCCACGTAGTTCTTCTTGGCATTGTGAAATATATGTTCAGAGATATAATGAAATCCTTTGGCCTCCTGAAGCCCGGCAGTCGACGCTACCGGGAATTATCAGCTCGGTGGAGAAGCTTCAACACCAAAGGTTTGAACATCGCACCGATCCAGCCCAACCTTCTAATTCAATTTTATCAGAGCCTGGTCGGCAAAGACTTCCAGACTGTGCTCCAAACTGTCCCTTTTGTCCTCTTCGATTACATTCCAGTCAACAAACGACAGCTCTGGATATCTCTATGTCTTCTCTCGTCTTACTTATTCCAGCACGAAATTAGACACATGGACGACTATTTGCGCGACATGGGAGTCGCGTTGTTGATCTTTTACAACCAGCTGCTGAAGGACTCTGCTCAGTGGGTGAATAAACCGAAATTCCACATGCTGGGCCACTTGAAGGATTCCATTCAAAGTTTCGGACCAGCAACCTTGTTCATGACACAAAAATTCGAGTCTTACAATGGACCTTTGCGCAACGCTTCAGTACACTCAAACCGCATGTGCCCAGGTCGTGACATCGCTAACACGTTCTGCAATTATCAATTGATGAGAGGCCTTCTTTCAGGTAACACTTTTTTTGATAAAGAACTGCAAGCCCGTTGTTCCGCTGGACCTCCAGTCCTCAGGCTCCTTGGGCGGATCCCTGAGCTTCCCAAAGCAATGGGTCTGGACCCAAAGGCCAAACAAGTCGCGGTTTACATATCTGGACGTAAGGTTTTTTATTGTATTTCACACCTTGGTTTTGGTGCTCACTTTTGTGACCTTTCTTGCCTTAAAGCGCGTGCCAAGGACTCCACCGAGATCCCGAGGTACCTTTCAAGTCAAGCGCCAGACGTGGCATGGGCCGAAAATTCCAGCGTCACTTTGGAAAACAGACAAAAGGTGGAAAAAGGGGACTTTGTCAAGGTGAGTCACCACCTTTGATTGGAATTAATTTGTTACAAACACATCAATTTAGAGTGTTCCCGTGACCGTTTTCCAGCTGGCCAATGCGAAAACGGTCACTCAAGTTACCTCCATCTGGAAGCCTGACGGAGGATCTGCCACCAAAACTGTCATTTTGCTTCAAGAGACTCAGCAAGGACCTGTTTATTCGTACTACGGAATGCGCGAGATAATTGTGACAATGCGGCAAAGATGGGTCAGAGTCCAAGTGAGCACGCTGAACTCACCTCCTTCCCACGCCTATGTCTGGTGCTGATTGGGCAATCCAGGATGTCGAGTGCATTTTGAACGTGCAACATAATTGCCACCGTTCTCAATGCTCAGTCGCAGATAATGGGACAAAGCGCCTGGAAAGAAGGGAAACAACCGCCAAAAACAGCATTATAGTACATAAGCCAACAAAGTACTTCATTCTGAACACGGCGAGCCACTACTCAGCCGAGACCCATCGAGAGGTCGCGAATGTTGGCGCACGTCTCATTTCACCTGGAGAATGGTTGACCACATTCCAAAAAGGCTTGGATGTTTGGCGATCTGTTCCAGCCAAAACTCGAACAAAAAAGGGCGGACACACCAAGGGCAAAGGCAAAGCCGACAACGCTGATCAAGATATGGAGGAATCAGAGTCCGAGTGTGACTGAGAGCTCTCTGAGGGTGGTGTTGGTCAAGGCCCAATTGTTTTTCTGATCTCTCCACTCTCACTCGACTGAAATCAGTCTTTTGCAAAGAATGCAATATCCCCCTGTGCTTTTGGAGAGTATTGTGTGCAACCATTTGTCCATCATCTTGAGCAACTTTCACTTGAGGAAGGTGCGATACCTTCCAAATGGCCACTTCGCGACTTGGTTCGCAGGCCACAGGCATCGTGGTCAGCGCGTGTTCCCTGAGAACCCAGGAAATCGCTGAGACCCTGCGGCGACCAATCAGAGATCGGGAAGCCAGGGGGTGAACTTCGCGCGCCTGAACCACATCACTCACGCTCACTCTGAAATCGGATTGTTCCAATTCCACCCTTTTTCAATTCTCCCTTCCACTTTGAAAACTCACCGTTCCAACTAATCTCGTTGATTTAATTTAAACACAAACCATGTCCTCTCAAACAAACCGCACTCAACCATACTCTTTGACTACCCCAAGGGGTGGGAGAGTCAGT